TTAAACCCAACTACATATGTTGTAGGGCAATAATAAGCTTCTCTTCTGGAGGGTTAACAACCTAAGTTTGCAGACCAAAAACTACAGAAATGGAAGGGCTGCAAGGACAGCCAACATTTTGACCCTAGCCTTTCAAGGTCAGTGAAGACTCAGGACATAGGAGAACCTATACTGTAACATCATGTAACTCAGTTGTGTTCCAAATTTTCTGATCAAGGAGATTATGGGGCCACAGAGCAACGTGATTGATGCCATAGAGGGTGCCTAAGGAGAGTCACCTGGGGAGAAAACATGCTCTCAGGCTTTCATGGAGAGCAAATTGGTCAAGCAATGGCCATGACTCATCCACATGGCTGACACTGACAAAGGATCTGCAAACTGTGGTACAGGGTTACAGGATAAATCCTGAGGGTACTTGACTGACCTTATCAGATACAAAAGTTATATTTCTTGTTATACAGGTCTTGCTTTATCTTGGTCTTAACCATCCAGCAGAAAAGTATAAAAATGAGGTATATAAAGTAAAGCCATATTAATGTGCTGAGCTGTGAAAGGCTCAAATCACCAACTTCTGTGGATAACTCACTACTATTGTGGACTGCTGGACTGCGTTGGATTGTTTTGCTGAATTCATGCACCTGTAGTATTTAGATCCCAATGGAATACACATTTCTGACAAGACTAAACAAAAAGGGATACAAAGGAAGGACTATTTTGTATCTGTATATACAGAATAGTTAGGATAGATACACAGCTACTTTTGCTCAATTCAATGAGAAGAAAGATTTTTACTAATAGTGTTTGGACAGGCTATCCTGTCTGTATCTTGTACTATGGATAACCACTAAAAAGATAACACTGTACAATGTATTAGTTATTGAAACTGCCCTATTAGTTTTGAAACTGTCTTACTGCTATTTGTTTCTTAATAAAATAAAAAAGAAAACATAAAATGTTACACATATTAATAGGGTGATATGTCATATTTTGATATAGGTATATATTGTATAATGTCTAAATCAGGTTGCTTATATTTATGTCATAAATGTATCTTTTATGATGAAAAAACTCAATCCTTTTTTCTAGGTCTTTGAAAAATTGGACTTTTAAACTGTATATGATGCTCAATGAAAATTAAAAATAACTTGAACAACAAGAACAAAAAATAGTTATTGTAAGTTGTGGAAATAATCTACTTCATTGGAAATCTCAAGACACTCAGCCCAACTAAAATGCAGAGTGTAACAACAGTGAGATGCCTTGTGGCAGGAGCAGTGGTATTCTGCTTCTGCCTGGAGGGTGTGGAGAAGCCTGGTGGTGTTCGTGTTGGCAGGAGGGTACAGAGATAAGCGTCACTGTGCGGCTTGCTGCCAGAGGGAGTCTGGCAGTGTGCTTAACGGTGCCGGCGATTGTACTCAGAAATCTTAATTTTAGGAATTTAAGAAACAGGTTGGTACACAAAGCAAGGGCCAGCTGTCGGACACCTAAGAGGGTAAGAGCAGAACACTGGAAGCCTTGAACCGTTTCCTGCACAGGGTCCACAGCTGTTGTGGAAACAGTAGAATACTAACGCCTGTGGGGAGCGCTCTTTTAGACGGGAAGAGCTCAGTAAGGACGTGCAGAAATGTCTGCATGAAGTGAACAAAACCAGTGTGGTACAGTATGGTTCCATTTTTGTAAAATAGGCACATGTGTGTAGATGGATCGAAAACATTTTGGAAACCTAGCTAGCAGCAGTGCACAGAGGTCGTCGGTAACCGGTTGGGGAGGGGTGGGGGAAGGGACCCTCCCACACTCCATGTGCATTGATCATGGCTCACAGTAGGCACCTGTGCTTTGCATTAGACGTGTTTCCTTCGCTGTCCTAAGCTCCCGTGATAAAGAGCGGTTTGGGCCAGCGCCAGCCCCTGGCTCCCACCTCGGCCTGGGCAGGCAGGGCGGGCGGGTGGGAACTGCCCGTGAGCCCCTGTATTTCCACCTCGGGGTCTGCAGCTCTGTGGACCCGGTAGCTCGCTGTCACTTAGGATCTCATCAGACTCCAGCAGCGGACCAACACCCCGCCTCAAGCCGAGAGGTGCACCCCGCTTTTTTCGACCTGAGAAGCTGCTGTTAGTAACCAGCCTCTAAAGAGCATTTGCACTTTGCGCCAGCAAGGCATTCTCGCCCACGTGACCTTGGCGTTTCTCTGCCGGAGAACTGCGCTAATGGAGGCCTCAGGGTGGATTGCTGTCCCACGCCCCACGCCCCAGTGACCTGGATTCACAAGCACCCAGCCCCGCCTCACGTGAGCCCCACGCACACTCCCACTGGGCGACACAGACGCCGCCACCCGCAGCAGAGGGGAAGGAGCAGAGCCCGCGGAGTACAGGATGGAGCGGGCGCGGGTGACAGGTCTGTGCACACCATAGGACGAGGTGCAGCCTTAGGAGGCAGTGTGAGGGCCGCGGTGAGAACACCGAGCCTGCGCTGTCCCCCGTCTGGAAAGATAAGCGTAAGTGGAGATGTGGGAGTCCCCACCTGGGCTCCCCCTTCAGACTTCTGCGCAGAGTCTCCTGCACTCTTTTCTCTGGCTTTACTTTGGCATTTCTGGTGCCCAGCCCAGACACATTTATTTAGAATGTGAACCATAAAACACAACCCTGGAAAGAAGTCTAGCAAGGTACTAACTTTCCTCCAACGTGTAATTTTTTTGTTTTCAATATAACAAGAATCCCTTCTGAGAAATAAAAAATCTAAAATCTCATCACCAAGTAGGCAACTATAGAAGAGGCCGAGTTATACAATTTATTATTCATTCAACAAACTGGGAACACTCACTATTTGCAGAGCACAGACTCAGCTCTGGGTAATGAACAGGATACAGACCAGACTGGCCTTGCCGAGCCCCATCAGAGACAGAGACTTTCTCAGTGTCTATTAAAAGTGATGTACAAGGGGGCCTGTCCCTTAGCTCAGTCTTAAGTGGCTGCTTCAACAAAGCAGTCAGGCTCAGGTTGCTGTGGTTCGGTCCCCACAACTCAAGTCAGCCAATCCTGCCCTGAAGGCATTCGGAGCAAAAAAAAAAAAAAAAAAGTGAGTTACAAGGGCTGGCGAGGTAGCTCAGTGGTCTAGAGCGCCTGCTTAGGCAGGCACAGGGGACTGCACCACATATGCCAGTCCTGCTCTCAGGTTGGGCTGAGCCGGCAAAAAACAAAAAAGGTGACTTACATATGCCCTCCGGGAATTTTTGTAAGAAATTATGCAGGCAAGTGGACAAGAGATGGACGATTGATCCTGATAGACCGCTGTGATAAGAAGGCCCAGCGGGGCTGGGGCTGGGCCTGTGCCTCCTGGCAGAGTGGGTGTCTGGCACACTAGGCCTGGTTGGTCCCCAGCCCCACACCAGTCGGTGGATAATAACAGAAAGCACCAGAACAGGAACCCAAGCAAGACCCTTAGACGTCAGCCATTGGGAGAATCAAGAATCTAAACAATGGGCCAGGGAGATGGCTCAGTGCAATACATGCTTCCCTGGCAAGCGCCAAGGACCTGAGTTCAATCCCCGGTTCTGCCAAAAGCAAAAAAAAAAAAGGAAAAAAGAAAAGAAACTAAACAGTGCCCCAAACCCTGAAGCCATTGGAAGAGAAAAAAATAAACCAAAACACCCTAGTACAGCTCTGGAAAGCTGTTCCTGATCTCTTAACTGAAAAACTCACAAAAACATAAGTGCTATGAGCTGTATCTTTGTAAAAGTGAAAGATCCTTACAAACAAAGAAATACGAAAAGATATATAGCAGATATTAAAATAGTTAACATTTGGTTGGTTTTCTGCTTTAAATGGTTACAGTGTACACATGATCATATGATAACTTATAATTAAATCTCGCCATAAATGAATTTTAAATTTTTATTGTGGTTGGTACGTTGTTTCAATTTGGCTGAGTTGGCTCCGGCAGTTCCGGGCGTGGGGGCCCAGCCCTGCTCCGCTTGCGTGCAGAAGTTCAGGCTTCGGAGGAGCTTGACCTTGGCAGCCGCGCCACTTCGGAGGCGCTAGCCGCGGAGCGCTGGTCTTGGCAGTCAGCGCAGAAGGAAGAGAAGGGCTTGAGGGACGCCGCAGCTGCTGCTCCTCCTCTGCTCTTCATTGTTTTCTGCCCCATGAACTGCTGCCGTTTGCCTTGGAGCCAGCGGAATATGGACTGACCCCTCCATAACTGTGAGCTAAGTAAGCCTTTCCGTCCTTCATTTTGAGTGTCGGGTATTTGTCCCAGCAATGAGTAAAAAGTAACTAAGACATTTATATAATATCTTGTTAAAGAATGACTCTCTTTTAATATAAAACGCATATACAGTGGTACCTCGGGCTGTAGACTTAGTTTTTACCTTTTGGGGGACGATGCCTGCGTTTGTGTCTGCGTGGAGAAGGTGGCCGTGGTTGTGTTTGTCACCTGATGCAGTTTGCAAAGGGAAGCAAAAGTCTTGCCAAATTGTTTACAAACAGAAGTGCCCCTGAGCAGAGGCATCCCGTATATTGTAACTATAAATGTCTTACAAAGAACATATTTTTGGTCAGAACAAAAGTTTCTAAAGAATCAGCTAGTGCTGTCCTTTCCCCGGACGCAGCACACCTGTGGCTGGTGGACCCGGTTGCCCGCGGGGAGGCGGTGCGGACCAGAGGGGTTCTGGCTCGCCAGGTCCGGGGCACAGAAGGACGGGGCGAGGGCCGGTGGTGCCCACAGATTAGGAACTTCCAGGTGGATGCGCAGGCCGCGAAGATTATCCCGAGCCGGCGCCACAAGCTCCAAGTCAGAAGAGAAAGCGACTCGCCACAGCACCACGCGGCGCGGCGTGGGGCGGCTGCGCTGCGCCAGCTACCCGCGAAGGACGCAGGCAGGCAGGCAGCGCGGTTCGCCTGCCCGCGCTGGCCCGGCAGGAGGGGCGCGCCCCTGCCCTTTGGATGCCGAGGAGCTTTTGTGTTTCTGCAAGCTCTTCCGTGTTAACCTAGGTCGTGACCTGCGCCCACCCGAAGCGGCCGCGTGTTCCTACCTGAGGAAGGTAGGCAGGGGGCTTTGAAGGCCCTGTCAAGGAAGCCCTTCCGTCCTGAGGTGAGAAATTGAGGGTTCCTGGCCCCCTAAGACTAGCTGCACTGTGCTCAGACCAACCCTGGATGGAACGCGGACGCTGTGCGTCCTGGGAGGCGTCCACCTGTAATCCCAGCTACTGGGAAGGCTGAGGCAGGAGGGCCGCCAGTTCACGGCCATCCTGGGTGACTCAGCAAGACCCTGCTTCAAAATACAATTTAAACGGGGGTGGGGGGTGGGGGAAGGGCTGGAGACGTAGCCCGGCGCTGGCCTGGTTCAGTCCAAAGCAGCAGCAGCAGCGCGCGAAGTCACAACTGCATCACGGAACACGGTAGAAGGAAACAAAGGGCAGTTTTCACCGTAATCCCCCGAGTGCACCACAGGCCTCCAGGTCATCCTTCCCATGTCATGTGCATTTCAAGCTTGATTCTAAAAATGAGCATAGTGGTTTGCGTCGGTACGTGATTCAGTGCAGAGCTGACTTAGAAAAGCAAAGGACAGCCTGGGTGCTCCGCGCGGAGAAGGGCCAGCCGCGGCCGCACTGGGGTGGAGCGCCGGCCCTGGGCCCCGCTGGCCCGGTTCTCTCCACGCCAAGAGTGCCCGTCCGAGGACGCGGCCCCCGGCTGCCTGGCGCACGCTAGCTCGTCTGTCCCCACTGGGCCGCTCCTTTCCGCGCTCTGTCCTTTAAGGACTGGGCCTGCGCAGAAAGGCCAGGCCAGCAGAGGCCAGACACGTGCTCTGGTACTTAAAAGTACTGAAAAGGTTTACTTCACTTTTTTTTTTTTTTTTTCAAGTTTCAAATGTCTACAGTGGATGCTAATTTGTAATAAGGAAAAAAATTTTTTTAAATCAAAACTTGATTTTAAATCAAAAATTAAATAAAAAATTAATCAAAACTTGCTGGGGAGATAGCTCAGGAGAATAAGCGCTAGCCTGGCAAGTGCAGTGTCCTGAGTTCAATCCCCGGTCCTGAAAAAAAAAAAAAAAAAACCCATACTTTAGTCATAACCAGCAGCCTGGCTAACATTTTTGTTTATTGCCTTTTTTATTTTTATATTCATTTATTTTTGAGACAGGGTCTTGCTATATAGCCCAGGCTGGCCTTGGACTCCCTATGTAGCCCAGGCTGGCCTCAAACTCATGGCGATTCTCTTGCCTCAGCCTCCCGAGTGCAAGGGTAGCAGGAGAGGGGCCACAAAGTCCGGTTGGAAGCTAATTTTTAACATGGAACCTGCAGCTGGTGCTGCCCATACCTTAACAAATCCACATATATAAATTAGAAGTCAGATATACTACAGGTTAAAAGGTGATCATCCTCAACAGAAAGGACTTACGGGTTTATTAAACTGTCAGTTATCCTGAGATATGAAAATACTGATATGATTTCCAAAGTCACAATATGTACTAATTTTCTAGACAAGAGGTAGTCAAGAAAGTTTCACTGGCTGACTTCTGTGGCAGCCACTGCCCAGAAGTCATGTGCACTCGCCTAAGCCGAACAGGTCGCTTTGCCCACAATGTGGACGCCACAGGTGTTTCTATGAGGCCAAGGTTCACATTTCTTGTTCTTTTTAAAACACAACAAATATATGTGTATATCTGTATGCATTTAAGAGAAATAGAAGTATCTATCTATTTATTTTTATTTTATTTTTTTTTTTTGTTTTGTTTTGTTTTTTTGCGGAACCAGGAATTGAACTCAGGCCCTTGCACTTGCCAGACAAGCACTTATTCTACTGAGCTATCTCCCTGTCCCCTGAAGTATCTATTTAAATCGATATAAATGTGCGTATTTATGGGGTACATATTTCATCACTTGTGTACATCATTGATCAGGATGACTGGCATTTCCTCACCTCAGCTATTTGTCATTTCTTTGTGCTGGGAACATTGAGATACACAATTAGCTGTTCAGTGTTGACACTGAGCCTCTGTCCCTAGTCACCAAACTCCACTCTGCCTCCTCTGTAACATTAACATTTCAATTTCCACATATAAGTGACTTGTGGTATTTGTCTTTATGTGCCTGACTTATTTCACAAAACAAAATATCCTCCAGGTTCACACATGTCACTTTACTTCCCTTTAAACTGGTTTTTCCTGACAAAGAAAAAAGAATCCTAAAAGATTGTATCCGGGTATTCTTAGCCAGGGACATTTCACAATGGAAAACACAAAGCCACAGAGCTTAAGGCTGTCCTTAAACTGTCACTGTATGTCTCTGTCCTCCAACTATGCCCTAGGTCCTAAAGACACATTTTTCCCACCCTTGTTGTTACTGGGTTTTGTAGAAGCACAAAATCTACTTAAAAGTATTTAAGTAATTGAAGTTCTTCCAAAGCTACAGTTACAGTAGGCTAAGTGTCCCCCAAGGGTCTACGGTTACTGAAGTCTTGAGCTCCAGGGGGGGCACTGCGAGACAGTGGTGGAACTCTTGAGAGGTACAGCAGGTCCTTGTGGGACAGAAGTCCTTGGCTGTGACCTCAGAAGGGATTCTAGGATTCCAGTCTCTCCCGCTAATTTTGTTTAGTATTGTAAGCCTACACACACACACACACACACACACACACACACACACACACACACACGTGCACGTACCCCTCCATCGTGACATGATACAGTTGAGGCTAACCATGCCCTTGAATGTCGACAACTGTGGGCTGAATAAATTCTTCCCTGAGGGGCTGGCCAGACAGCTCAGAGGACTAAAGCGCCTGCTTCGGCAGAACACAGCCGCCGCCGTGCCTTGATCCCCAGCATTCTGCGCCGGCCCCACCCCGGGGTGTGCTGAGAAGGGGACTGAGACTGGGCGTGCTGACGTGTGCCTGCAATCCCACACTTGGGAAGCTGGAAGCAGGAGGATCACTACAAATCTGATCTACGTAGTGAGACCCTGTAGACCTGTACTAAATACATTAAAAAAAAAAAAAAAAGTTTTCTCCTTAAAAGTCCTTATAAGCCTTAGTAGCTTTTTCATTGCTGAGACAAAATGCCAGCTCCACAGCTCAAAGAAGTTCATCTGGATGAATGGGTTTTAGAAGTTTCAGTCATTGGTGGGCTCCAGGGAACTGTGTGGCGCAAGCAGAAAGGAGGAGGCTGGGGACGCGGGCCAACCCTCCACTGCTAGCTGCGCTCTGGCTGTCAGCTCACAGTGGCGACCAGCTCACAGTGAGCGCAGGGCCTCCATGACACAGTCCTCCAGTGGGAGCCCTGCCTAGAGTGCATGAGGCCTTTGGGGGACTCGACACAAACCTCACGGCTATCCGGGCGCCCACCAAGTGGCCTGACACAGCACCCTGTGGAGGCTCCTCCCGGGGGAATGCTGCTCTGCGTCTGCCCCCAGCTCCTCACACCTGATCCCCTCAGCTCCTCACACAGGCAGTCACAACGAATCCCCGCAGCTCCTCACACACACACACCTCATCACCCAGCTCCTCACACAGACACACCTAATCCCCCCAGCTGCTCACACAGGCACTCACACCTAATCCCCCAGCTCCTCACACACACTCACACCTAATTCCCCAAGCTCCTCACACAGGCACTCACACCTAAT